CTTCTAAAATTTTAGTGACGAAGTATTCTTTTTCAGATTACTGAATATTTCTTCCCATCCACATCATAATTAGTAAAAAGAGAAGTGATGCTCGGTTTTTTGACAAACAAAGACTATATGTGTCACATGAAATAACGCCTCTCCTCCCAGTTCATAATCTTTGGATGCGCAAACCGAAATTGCTTTTAGGTTTATTTGAAGTTTTCACCGACTTGGTTTGTTCCAACGAAATGATCGCTCTCCACTGACATGTTAACTCGTAATGTGGATACTTCGATGATGTGAGGTTATTTTGGGTAATGGTGATCGCCAACCACATTAAAATCATCATGTTCAATTCAATGATTATTAATGTAAGTGCAGAACGTGAGCACTGTGGTCGAATGTGATTTCTTCTTATTTACGTTTGTTTCAAATATCACATAGTGATGACGCAGTATTAAAAACTCGATGACAAGGTTTCGAACATAAATTATTGCCAGTCATAATCATGTCAATTTAGTCACATGTTTCCAAAATTTGTCTTGTATATATTTTCCCTCTTTCCCCCTGTTCCTATTTCCCTTGTTGCCAGCTGCCACCTTCCATATTTACAGCATCTGTAATGCATTATTTCCACTGCACATGTGAGGTGTTGACTCGAGGATAAACAAAGCTTCAGCGATCAACCTCTCTCACTCTGTCTTCACCTAACTACAGTACTTTTTAATGCTCTCACCCCTTCCCATCCACCCTATTTTGTGATTACATGCAAGTGAATGCAGTGCAATAGCTGAGCTTCTCTCTAGGTTATGTAACTAAGCAGGGTCAGTCATTCTATGTCTAGGTAGCTAAATTTTTGTTTCCCGATAATCTAACTGACCCTGATCTACTATTGTGACCTAAGTAATTCACTTCACAATCATTACATGGTGTTTGATAAATTCTATCATTCATCTTGAACGGATCCATCTGGTCCGTAAGCTGACAAAGTTCATCTCTGAGAGAATTGGTTGATTGTTTTAAAGGCGACTCTAATTCCAGCCTCTCTGAGAATCCTACACATAGCTTCTGACGTCCCTTTTTAATATGGCAGTACTACTACTTAGGCTTTGAATTCTATGTTATTTTTGTCATTTTCATTACCAATCTTATTTTTTGTATAACTTCTCTCACATTTCTGAAAAAATTATGGTGGTTAGTTGTAATACTTCCTTTATTTGTTTGATTTCATCAGTTAAATCTTCTGGCTTACTGGTTAGGCTACTGGCTTGAATACACAGATATTTAACTCAACTTATCTCTACCGATTCTGGATTGGATATATCAAAGTCTAAGTATTTACCAGAGTGTACTGGTTTCCTATAAATGATAGTATCCAACTGGCACTATTGTTTTCGTTTTATTCTACAGTCTAGCATGACTAACTCACCCTGTTCGTTGTCTAAATCAGAGGGGAATTGAATTTCGTCTAACGCTGACTTAATATGTGTGAAAAAATGAGGAATGCGTATTGAGAATGTGTCATTTTTAAATATCGCCACATTTATCTCGATGTATCTGCGGTTCTGCGATCTAAGAGCTTTTTGTTCCCAACTGTCCATTTGTATAATTGACTTTAAAATAATAGAAATTCATTGGAGAATAGTCAATTCACTTGCCATTAACCCTTCATATACACTCATTTCGGAAATAATTCTCATGGGAAATATTTATACACACAAAAAGGGTCTTATCACTGTGTATTCTATTTGACAAAATGACCTAATTAGGCAACACATTTATGAGAAGTTGTTCATTTCATCAAAAGAAACTAATAAGACCATTGAGAATATATTTTTAATGGAACATCATTTATTTCTTGTCATGACAATTAATTGAAGACATTGATAAAAAACAACAACAAAAATTTACCAATTATTACTGACAACAAACTGGTCGCGGCTCACAATTTCTCAAAGTCATAAAGTCTTCTTGTTGTTTTTGTTGTTGGGTAACATTCTTCACTTTTGAGTACTGGGAGGCCTGTCACAATCGCGATGAATAATGTGAACACATTAGAGATGACATTTTTATGTTTAGAAGATGCGTGTGTCTGTGTACAAAGCATTACTGTCATTTAGTAAATGACACTGAATATTCAACTGAATGGATGACATCATGATGTATACTACTAATTGATTGAGATGAGTAGTTAGATACGATTCACATCAACGAATGGTACTTACTAGCCGGTTAGCCACACTGAAGTAATCCAAATACTTGATGGCCTTTTCGGTCTTTTGATGCAGAGCTAATCATTAGTGCATCTGGTCTGATTCGGGTCTCAAAGATGAGTCAGTAAGCCATAAGTTGGGTATTTTGAACTTATACGGCAGACTGAGATGAGTCACATTGGCTACACTGCTGATGGGCTCGGTGTCAGACAAGCTAAACGGCCATCCAGTGTTTTAGATCCCGTCTACCTGGTTGGCTAGAAAGTGGTGTAGTGCTCCTCATGTCAATGAATCACTTGCATATAGCGACATGCATATATGCTTGTTCTGATTTATTTGCATTTATGGTATCAAACAGGCTGCATCAAATTTGATTTAAATAACTTCTGCAAATTTGGGATTAACTTGAAAAATATATATTACAAATATTAATGCTTCATGCCCTGATAAGGTAATTTCTTAGAATGTGAAGCCATCAGTAAATATAAATCAGTCCACTCTTGTTTTATTCCAATAGTAGACACCAGAGAAAATCCCTTGTGGGGATAGAAAGGTGGGCATACATTCACTTATCCGTACATGTCCCGAAAAGCTTGATATTCAAAGTTCCACGTCTTATTCCCAGTATCACTGGCCGACATCTAGTCGAATCAGGACACAAAGTATCTAAACTGTTTCTATCATTTTTAACAAACATTTGCTATCAAGTAACTCCAGCCAAGCCTCTATATACAGAAACCAACACTGACTGACCTTAGCTGACACTGGGAACACGTTTCTTTACTCATTGCACAGTTACGTATTCTACTTTTCAATTTTCTTACATTATTATTATTACTATCGTCTTTATGTTTTGTTTTTCTGACTCACTGATCTTAACTCACATAAATAATTTCTAATTACTTGGAGGATTTCATAATGATCTGACATCAATTAGAGAACCATTGGAAAACCTGTGCGGAGTACTAGATAGCTGTTTCCTCCGTCAATACGCACCCATAACCAAGGTTCGAACTCTGCACCTTCCGATTTTAAGGCTAGCAAGCTCCTTGACTATTCAGCAGCCACTGGTATCCAATCAAATGACCAGTCCATGAATTCAGACTTCTGCCAGTTGACGACATAGCGTGACCACTAGCCAATGTCTTCTTCGATGAGTTACTGCCTCACCTTCAATTTGCTGCATCCTACTGGTCACGACTTTCCACTAGAACCTCAGGTTAACTTCCTGAATAGGGCTAGTCGCTAGTGAGCATCAGTGTCCCAGTGATCTACGTGCTCGCTAACCTTGTAACCGAAGAGTCCTAGGTTCCCGGTGAGTACGTTGTGACGAAGAGTCCTAAACAAAGATGAAACAGCTGACCAGTACTCCATTCAGGTTTTCCAATACTTCTCTAACTGATGTTGCCTCATTATGAAATCCTCCAACCAATCAAACAAATTCTCTATAAAACCAATACTTGGGGATTTCTAACTACTTCTAAATGCTTATTCGCATGGTAGTGAGTGATCTTTTTCATACCTGTTTGTTGTTGATCCATTAATGTTTTTTTGGTGTTGTTAAGTCAACCAACAGAACCGCTCGAATATTCTTCCAAACTTGTGCTGAATAACCACTTTCTTTTGAATGCATTATTTGTAATTCATTATGTCATCATAGCTCACCGGCTGTTGTTACCCTGAACTAAGACCACCATGCCGAAAATTTCCTTCGAAAGTATTTGAAAATCTGGTGTGCCTGTCGAACAATTATTCTGACGCGTAATGGTAGAGGTATAAACCTTTTAACAACAGTGCGGTTGATTTTCATAGACAGTTTATTCGTCTGACTCCTAATAGAAATGTGAAAAAAAATAACTTGAGACTTTGGACGTTTTTTGAAAGATCTTTTGATGTGCTATCATATGGTGTATGTATCAGTGAAATGAGCTGTTAATGCCTGTCGGAATAACTAGATTGTTAGCTAACAAGTAGGGATTTGAGGATTTTATCATGAATTGACATCGTTTAGAGGAGCTTTGGAAAACCTGGAAGTACTTGACAGCTGTCCCAGTGGCTTATTGGTTTACGGGTTCAATTTGTAACGAGAAAGTCCTGGGTTTGAATCTCAGTGGTTACGAACTTCCAAAGAGTCCCAAAGTGGGACAATACAGCAGTCCTCTAGCAGATGGCAGTTCATAACGAAATCCTGAAAACAAACAAAGCTCTGCAAACCAACACTTGGAGTAGCGATTTAATTATAAAATCTTTGACTAAGCGAATTGATTAATTTCATAAGCTAAGGGAAAAAACAAAATGGTGGTATGATGTGAACTGAAAAAGCACTTTAACAGGCATAATTTTTAATGTAATGAGGTCAAAGTTAATCCTGAATAGCAAGTAAAACATCGAGTCTGACATTATACTACATTTCAGAAGCCTCAAGTAACGAGGCGATGTAGACCTAGTTGCTGATCGTCGCATCAAGACCTGAAGATCCTGGGTCCGATCTACAGTGGGATCATGAGTACGTAGTGTTTAGGAGTCCTAAACTATGGAAAAATGTGCTGCTCAGCAGCCGTCGGGATGATATCAGCTCATGATTAGACTGGAAGTCAGGCGAATCTCCACAGAGTAACACTTGAAAAGTGATGCTGGGTGTAATAAATGTGAAGGAAACAAAATTTAATTTGTAGGGTCTTACTATGCTCAGCGAGTTTTTCTTAATATGATAAATATTAACACACTTCGAACATTTTCCGCTTAGACAGAAAATTGTATTGACCAGTTAAACTTTAAAATTTTTATATTTTCCTTCTGTTCTAGAGGATGTGGTGGCGGCGGTCAGGATATTAACACAATCGGTCTGTTACCTGATAAACTGAAAACAGAATTAGCGTTAAATGTTAATTTGGAGACATTGAAAAAGGTAAGTCCAAACAACAGCGTGTGTTCAGAATGCTAGCGTGTTTATTTCCTGGTAAAGCAGACTAAGTCAGTGGTCCGATGGTAGAAAACTCGTCGACGATGTACGTGGTCATCAGTTCGATTCCTGGCCGGTCAAAACACTCCTTAGCCTCACTAGGTCAGTAGTAAGTCTGGTGAGTTAGCGAGACTGGGCTTGAGGCTAGCAATCTTACCTCGTAAAAGGAAACAACGGAGTTGCTGAAACTTCAAACCATTTGTTTTACACGCAACGCATAGTTCATAAACTCTAACTTCTTCCAATTCACGGCACAACGCGACCACGTAGCGATGGATGAGCACTGATAAAGAGTCCCAAACTAGGCTAACGAAACAGCTGTTCAATACTACCAAGTTTTCCAACGGTTCTCTAACTCATGTCAACTAATAATGAGATCCTCCAACCACTCAAATAAAATCCCTACAAACCAACACTTGAATATTAGATTTATCACCCAGTGACTGAAGCGGTATTATTTATTGATTTATTGTGATTCATAATCATTACATCAATTATAATGACACAACTTCAAGAATTTCACTTTGTTGTTGTCTTTATTATCTCATATTTGTCGTAGGGTGAGTAGAATTTTCCAGATATCCCGGTGGACAGGTGTTGAATCAATCCTGGTATACATTCCTACACCAGGAATTGATAACAGAAGCTTTAATTATCGAGTCAACTGCAAACTGTGTTACAGAAGTGATTCAACACCTGTCCCAGAAGCCTGTAAAATGGGAGAGAATAAAGAAAACTATAAAATGAAAGTTTCGAGGTTGTTTCATTATATTTGATGTGATTATGAACCACAATAAATTGTGTTCGAAACTATGTCATCCAGTAAATAATAATACTGTTTCTCTGTGTTTATAATATATCTGATAAACGAATTAATGGGGAACGATAGCTTCCATTTTGTCTATCCAGTTGATGTATTTAACCGGCACAATGTTTTTGAAAAATGAAATTTTAGGAGAATAAAGCTTTACTACTCAAATACTGAAAAGTCACTATTACCCAGTATAAGAAGTTTTTTGCTTTAATTCCCAATGAACTTTGAATTTTTTTACTATAGGTGACAATATTCCATGAATGCAGGCCAGAATTTTTACATGACATTGTCTTAAAAATGCGACCACTTGTATTTACACCCGGTGATTTAATCTGTCGGAAAGGAGAAATTGCCCGTGAAATATTTATAATCGCTGATGGTGTACTTGAAGTTATAAGGTGAGTAGAAAACAGTAAGGGAACAATTTGATAAATAATCAGACGTTTTCTATTGAAGAATGCAAACCACACTTAATGAGTTTTTATCATTCCCCAATAGACGTATTCAAAGTTCCTTTTTATGTCCTGAGGACGTATTTTTGCGTCCTTTTCATTGAGGTATTCAGAAGAGATAAATTAGGACTCATGAATTTTCATTGGGGACCATATACATAAATTCTGTCTTAAGAAGCTAAGAAAGTCACTAGGATAGCCTTCTGTTTATTGAATATTGTTCTTACACTGAAATCCATTTCATTATTCCCTGTAAAATTATGGAGAATTAAGATAATACTGCCTGCCTGAAATCACTGGTGATATTCCCGAATGTGATGGACTGTATCGTGTGGCACACGTTAGACCGACGATATCGGTAGCTCCAATATGAAGGGCAACCGTTGGTATTAGGTGTGCGTCGGAAAGGGTTCGAAGGCCGGACCATGTGCATGGTCGGCGAAAGTCTCAACCGCTGTGCCATCAATCCACAGAAGGTTACCTGAGAAGACAGGACTTTAGGTGAACACAGAGAAGACAGACGGGATGAAGATTACCTGAACAGTGACAACAGCCATTGATCTTAATCAAATGGAGACATCGAAAGGAACTCACCTCTTTAACTTAAAAAGGCTTTATCGTTTCAGCTATGAGTGTCACCCATGAGAATGTGTAGGCTTAAGAAAATTAGAAAAACAAGGCAGACATTCAATGCTCCGGAATCAGTGTACACAATCCACTGCAGTTAGCATGAGAAAGACGATCGTATCCTTCAATTCTACTGCTAAATCAATGTTTCGGTATGCTCGCTGCGGAATTCCAACAACGCCTGCCCTCCATCTGCACGAAGATGTGATGGCATGTCAGAAAGAATAACAAATAAGGAACTCTGGCAGTGAAGTGAAGCAGTCAAGTACCAATAGCCCACAAAAATACACAGAAGGAAATGGAGATGGATTGGATATAGTTGATGAGATCGCTGTGAAACTTCACACGCAATTAAGCTCTCCAGTGAAAGCCGTATGGAAAGCGAAGAGTTAGGTGTTACATGTTGGAGGCCATGTGAGGAGAAGGTTAGATTCTTTGGGCGATCATGGAGCTAGCTGGAAACAACATCACATGAGAGGATGAAGCGGAGATGGGTTGTTAAAGCTCTATGCCCCACCTGAAACTTGAAGAAATAACCGTTATTAATGCTAGATAAGCGAGTTACATAAATGAAAGTCCGTCATCTCTACGTCATCGAAAATTACTGACCAATAGTTGTAAATAAACACAAAGAGAACTGCTCACTTTGCTCTTTGCCTAATATAAATCACCAACGAAATGTAGAATGCATTAAAATTTCTGTGCGCAACAAGGTTCTGTTTTCCCAATGAAACTACTGTCAGGTAGAGTGAAACTGTGTTAACAAACACAGAATATAGCATGACTCCCCTGAAAGCATGACGTTATATACTACTGATTTGTTGATTTGAGTATTCAGATGCCGGTCACATCAACAATGACTTCACATAAATCATTTTTTGATAGACAGCAATAACTTCAACGTCTGCTTCCTATAACCGCTAACTGATATGAGTGAAGTTCAACTACTCATATTAACCATTCAGTAGTATGCAGTACCATTCATTTTTCCTTATCAACATGATCGCCATTTATGATAACAAGCAGACTCTATTGATCGTGATCTGAATAACTTTTGGTTTTTAGAGGAAACTGTGATGAAAGTACACCTTTTCTGACTGCTAAATTTCAAAATGAGTAATAATTTGTAAAACTGTGAATTCTACTGAATACGTAACTGCCTTATTAAATTTAATTGGTGAATGCGCATTTCGTCCTATTTGGGACTCGTCAGCTTATTCAATGTTAGTTTACTCACCACAAATGATCTGAACTTATTAATTTCTTCCTCCTTTTTGCTAACTAGTGAAACCAATGAAGTACTATCACGAATGAGTGCAGGTGATTTTTTCGGTGAAATTGGTGTACTGAACGTTGACGGTGTAAATAAGTAAGCTTGGAATTTGTTTATTAATTTTAATGCCACTAGTTAAATACAATTTATTATTGGTTACTGGATCTCATCATCAGCTGATATCTTTTAGGGAAACATTTAGATACCTACAAACAGTCCTAAAGAGATGTTTCGTCCTAGTTTGGGACTCTTCACAGTGCGCATGCATTGTGGTTCGAAACTCAGGACCCCCGGGTTACAAGGCGAGCTCCTAAACCATTAAAACCATTGAATTGGGTTCTAATGACCTAATGGTCAACGGTGGGGCATACTGCTTAAAAGTCCAAAGCCAGGAGGAAAAGGCTGTTCAGTACTCCCTGTTGGTTTTTCAATGGTTCTCTAACCGATAATAGCTCAAGATGAAATCTTGTAACAAATCAAATCCTTTTGTTACCTGTATTCATTAATCTGAATATCGTTTCCAGGACAATAAACACTAAGTGTGTGTGTGACACATGAACAAAGAATCCAATCAAACGAAAGCATTCCTATGATAAGATCGGATAAGGGAGTAGAAATAATAATGTTATATAGTCGACAACATCAATAAGATGAACAGCATTTAGCAGGACACCACGAAATTCCGAAAACTACTAACATGCAGAGATGATCCAGATAACGTCTGCATCGGTGGAACAGTGGTTAGGACTCCCGCCGACCATTCACGTGGTCCAGGGTTCGATCCCCTCCCGACGCACACCCGATATCAATGGTCGGCCTGCAAAATTGAGCTACCGATATCACATGGTGAAAATTCCAAACTTGTACCAAAACTACGGTGTGGAAACAAGCTTTAATCAAATCAAATCAAATCAAAAGAAAATTTCCTTAGATACTGAAAGCTCTAGTATCCAGTCATTCAGTATTTTCTCAAATTTTCCGAAATCTATAGCCTTTAGGAACAAATATACCTAGAATATATGGGCTGCTAAAAAATTCATAACACCGACCTGCTAATATCACCAATGATTAGACTTGTTTAACTCAACATATCATGAGATAGCAAAATAGCTGAAAGACATACTGAAATCAAGGCAACTTAAAATGTCTAAGTTTAGCTTGGAGGACACTTCTCAGCTTATACAAAAAAGTGAGAGATAAAAAGATCAACGGTGAAACAATGGTTTCTGTGGATGTCACTTCCCTGCTTACCGCCGACTTTATCTGTCAGTCCCTGAGTGAAAATAATATAGAAGTGGGTATACTAACTCAAACACTACGGGAAATGCTACTCCAGTGTGCAATGAATGTATAGTTTCAGTTAAACAATGAAATGTATCGTCAAGTGGAGAGTAAAGCAATGTACTCCCTCCTGGGTCCTCTCTTAGAAGTTATGTTTATGAAAAATCTAAAAAATCGTCCATTTAAAAGTATTATCAATGAAATCTCCTTCTAATGTAGACATATCACCGATACGTATATCATGCATATAAGTATAATTGATACCTAGGTCTTTCTCAAAATCTTCAATATGATTTACCTAATAATTAAGTGTTTCAAAAATGTGATGAAAAATCGAAATTGTAACTAGTAGGGCGTGAAGACTGTTAAGTATTGACAAGCGTTGCGAAATATGAAGTGGGATGTTAATGAAGGAGTATGGAGATAGGTGTCCAAAGTAAATTATGCAGTAGGTAGAAAGAGTAAATAAAGGGTTGATTAGGAAAAAGATGTTACTAAGATGACACGCGAAAATTCAAAAAAAGAAGAAAATAAAACATTATTAACATAGTCGTAGAACTTGGAATTCTACCCAAGGTAGAAGGAGGTGGTGGATAAATTTCCTCTGTGTACATGAATCAGCGTTTTCTATCCGGATTGCTAAGGCCTCATCAATGAAAAGTAAAAACGGAAATGACCATTTTCAGGAGTCTTCTTTTGAATTTGAATGAATCCTCCTTACATATTGAGTCACCAGTGTCGACTATATATCTTCAATTATACAGTACTCTTTATTGATCCACTGTTACCTTTTCTTAGCTGAGAGAGATAATGTTCTTTGTTTCTTTTAGATAAATTACTCATCCAACGACCTGTATATCTAACTCGACATGAGCAAGTGAATTGGTAGATACGTGTAGAAGTGGTCAAATGTGATAGTTTGTCTTTTGATTTGTTGAAGAACAATAGGTGGTTTGACAATACCAATCGTAATGTAGCAGCAGCGAATGCTCTTCTCAGGGAGTTAGTTATATATTCTCAATTTTAGGGTGTCTACCAGAAGGTCACCTTTGAAAGTCATATTTATGTTTAGCGTCTTCTTCTGCAGAGAGATAGCTTCTTCTTTGTTGATTTTTGACTGAATGTGACTGAAAATAATATAGAAGTGGGTATACTAACTCAAACACTACGGGAAATGCTACTCCATTGTAAAATGAATGTACATTTTCAGTTTAACAATGAAATGTATTGTCAAGTGGAGGGTGTGGCAATGCACTACTCTCCTGGTCCCCTTTCAGACGTCACTTTTATGGAACATTTAGAGAATCGTCCTCTTAAAAGTATAATCAATGAACTCGCCATCTAATATATATATATATATATCGCTGGTACATATATTGTGCATAAGAATAAAACCAATACCAAGGTCTTTCTCAAAATGTTCAATATGACTTACCAACAAATTAAGTCCACTTATGAAGCAGAGAAAGATGTCCTGATAACAAGGTGTAATACAGACAATGTGTTCCAATGGAATATTATTTTTACATATTCTCACAGTTCAGTAGAGGTTTAGCAACAGAATACAGTATGTCTATTTGAACATTCTGTTTGTTGCTAGAGTCAGAATATTATTCTCATAGTTCGATGCTGCGTTAGCAACAGAATATTATGTATGTAGAAGTTAACTGGTGGATGGTGACTAGCAGTAGAATCCAGCAAGATGCGTATTTCGTCCTATTTAGGACCCGTCTTCTGGATGTGCCTATATTCCGCAGTGACTGATGATGTTCCCACCAAGGCTCGAACCGATTAACTTCTAACTACATGCCTGTACAACGTCGAAGCCTGCGCACATGAAGCCGACATGTCAACCTGAGACCGAGCACTTCGATCTAATCAATCGACGGGAAATTCTTAAATTAAATTAAAGAATACTATGTATATTTGAGCATTCTACCTCATGTCGTTTAATGTAAGCCAAAATCACGCTCTCAATCATTGGTTAGAGAATATTAAACTGTATCTACACAAATAGTGATTTGATCACTTGAAAATATACCTTGGCTACCGTGTCTTGCATTTTGTCGCTACAGTACTATGCGGGGTGGTGTAGTTACATATTGTTATCTTGGTTTCACGATATATTACTTTATTATTAATATGTTATGTAATCACTACGAGACAGCAGTTATTTTCCCCTCTACCTCTACAAGTATACACATTCTACTTACACACTGACGACGATTGACTACCTCTATTATATGAATCCACGCATTAATTTATCTTTGTTACTATTATGATCACCTGGATGGTTAACCAATAATTCACATCCCCGTTAACCACATTGGTTTCAAAAGTCAACGATTCATATTTTATTGTGTAATCGTAATGCCTGTGGAGAGATTATCGAAAACATTCACTCAAATTGTGTTCTATAAGTATCAGAATGGAATCCTTCAGCATCGTAAAGGCAGCGTCAAAGTGTAAAATATTTTTCTTAAAATTCTGTGTACTTATAGTGTTGTAACGACAGAAGACAAGGCCAGCCAGGTAACAGATCGTTTATTGAGAAAATCAACAGATATTTATAGATTTTTATGTACATCATTATTCGCTACTGTTAGCAGGGAAGCAGCGTCTTCTGATTGGTTCTTTTCTTGCTGAAGGTTATTGTGTACTGCTAGTGACCGATTCTTAGAAAGTTAAGCCATATATCTGTGAATCGTATTCGCACACGTTAAGTCTGCTGTGATTGGTTGATGAGTACCTCAAGGTTAAGCTTAGTTGATGTTTTTTAATCTCCTGACCCCGATTCGGGACGTGTATCATTGACGTAAATTGCTATCTACAATTTTTGGCTTGCAGTTTGCTCTCTCCACTGTGTTACCAATACCTGAACATTGGTTTCACACTTGCCAATAGTCAGCTATTTAGGAAAAAGGAGTTCGTGGTTCAGAACTTCTACACTTGTGAAATGTCACCCGTTAGACCAAAGACAGATAGTTTTCTAAACGCCTATCTCATTGATCATAATACTTTGAAAAATTACCAATGAGAACCCCCTAGAATAACTGCTTTGTGCAGAGTAAAATGTCTCAAAAATTCACGTTTTATTTTTACTAAACAAATTGAGATTATTTAAAATATTGTTTTATGATGACGTAGTCAAACTCGAGTCATAAACTGTTCTTAGAAAACCTATGAAATCTATGGTATGAGCATTAATAGGATGCTATCCCTATATTTATCAGATAAGCTTGAAACAACAAGCCTCCGTATGGAACTGGTAACTTGTGTAAAGAAATACCATTAATGTTTTTTTAGGAGAAAATAGCTTCAAATAAAAATTAAGCTTTCACATTTGTGGTATGAAATTTAATCTTTGTATCCCGCATCTTTCTTTCTTATGCGATCTAGGAGAACAGCTGATGTACGTGCTGTTGGATACGCCGAGTTGTTCGTTTTGTCCAGAGAAGATATACTGAAGGCCTTAAAAGATCATCCAGAAGCTGAGGTACGATTCCATAATTTTTGATTTAATATTCGTCTTATATATGTTCTTTATTCCTTTACTTTCCCAGTGCTCGAACATAGGGTGTCTTCAAGCTAGGGACTTGAAGTTTCGGTGGCAGTGGTGTTTATTTTTATGGGATAGGGTCGCTAGCCTCATTCGTAACGTTCCTTCTTTACCAGTCTTACTACTGGCTTAGCGAGGTAAACGAGTGCGTCAGCCGGAGATCGAACCCCGGATCACATGCGTGGTTTGTGACAATTCTGCCGCTGGGCCACCGACGCACTAATTTAAAATAATAACCATGGTTTGCTTTATTCCAAAACAGTACTTACGGGACAGTGTGGAATTCACACTCTACCCCTGTGCCACCGAAACTAATTTTTAAATGACTGCCCAAACGTCTTTGTTTTTACTTCTTTATTAACTCTTGTCATCAGAAACACATCCAACTATTCACTTCTCTCTCGGGCTCCATTCAAGGACTTGTCAGTTGCTTGATGTAACTCAACAGTCTTCTCAGCTTATGTCAAATCCATTACTATTTCCTTCTGCGTTTCACAAGTGTGACAGTTTCTTGGTTGGTAAGTTTGTGGCCACAGTTCATTGTTGCTTGTCCATTCTGGATGGTCACCTGGTATTTAATACTGACAGAAGACAGACGTATACATCGTTTTAGAAGCACTTTTAATGACTTTCGCAAGAATTGTCCAAACTATTTAGAAGCAGTAAGTTGACATTAGGGCCGAAAATCAGGATCTTACTCCTATTGACATTTACTTGCCTTCCCAATTCTTTCTATGTCTGTCTGCAGATGAGGCGGTGCTGCCGAAGTAGCTAAATAATTAGCGCTTCTTGTGGATTTTTAGGCATATTGGTTACTTCTATCTTGTCTGTGTTCACTTGATTTTCAATCTTCACACTTCTGATACCATTTCAGTGGATTTCGCTTCTAAATCATCGAGACGTAAATCATCAGTTAAATCCATATCTTCTAGGTTTTCTCCATGTGTCTAATGTTTTGCTGTTTTCTTACTCTCTACCCGATACAGTTTCAATGCCGTGATCTTTAGTTTTCACAGATACTCCAAGAATATTTTATCAAAACGGATTATAAGTTTCAATAAAACTGTGTCAGAAGAGAAAATATCATAAAATGCAAAATAAATTATACAGGTGATGACTGATTCCCATACAGTGAAACTGTTTTTGTACAACCAGTTCCAGTAGTGATGCAGTTGTTGTTTACTGGATGGAGTTACTGTCTTCAGTCCTAGTCTTCCTTTTTTAGTGCCTGTTATCAGGTAGGTGAGGCTTCAGAGTGCGTCGACCGGATATCAGATCCTGGACAACATGCCTAATTGGTGAGCACTCTACTAAAGAACCAATGACGCGCACACGCACACAACATCAGTGAATGTTGAATAAACAGATCTCGAAGCCTTCCGTGGATACTTTGAGTTGTGAATATATCAGGATAAGAAGATACTAAATTCTGTTTCGCAATACGCTCTATTGGCAATATAATATTATGTTGAGTTTACAAGTGAAGGTGAAATATATATCCGAACTGCTGCATTCTGAAATACTATTTCAGTGCACTACCATCTCAAGTATGTAACTAAAGGCCATCGAATCGAATCCTAGATTTTCACTCAATCTAACTGTGTTTGCCCTAGTTGTAGTATTCAGGTTTCACTCCTAAAAATGTAGTCGTACATGAGTACAAGTGTAGAATTCGGGTACTGTGGTAAAACGTACAGTTTACATAATAAACAGCACCGCCGTGTTGATGACTTCATGGCGTATCCAGCGCTGTTTATTGCTACTCACTATCAAATTGATACGTGTTCACACGGCTCTTTAATTTGCTTTGTATAGTTTTTCTCTCCGCCTTGTTATTTGTTGTAATTTTTCACATGTCGTTTAAAGGCGTTGCATCATTTCTGTTTCACGTGTTCGGTGTTGCCAAGGTGAACAAGTATTAGGTGATAAATCTCTTGCTCCGCCTAACATTACTGCAATGTAATAATTCCACTTTATCCACCCTGTCATGTGATTACAAACAGGTGGCTGCATTGCAATGATCTAGTTTTCTAGGTTACTAAACTTAGCAAGAATAATTATGTTATCTATGTTCTGAAAATTTAAATAACTATCACCTACTGGTTCGACCTACGTAACTGACTATGTTACTGTTTCATTTAAGATTATATTATTATTATTCCCTTGGGTTTCAAGTGGAACATAGTGCTTCAACGAAACATCTCTGCTGTATTCTATTTTTTGCCCTTCTCTTAAGTTGGGTCTACGGTTGTCCATAATCTCCCTTCTTCTCATCATCATCATCGAACGATCTCCTCCATGTCACCCTCTTATCGACGACCCACTCATCGCCTCTCGTTGGGATTCCGCTGGAGCGATGATCTGGCTTGCGATGTCATTATACCATCTCCTCAGTGTATGCCCAGTCCATCTCCATTTTCTCCAACACATTTGTTGAGCAATCGGCTCTTGGTTGGTTTGTCACCAGAGTTTCATCCTGCTGATTGTTTCTGGCCTGCCATTTGATCTTTAGTATGGAGCTGTCGAAGGTAGCGGTTGATAAAATTCCGCAGGAAATCCTTGTAGTGAAACACAGTGCAAGTTTCTCACCCCTATAGAAGGACTCACTTGACACTTGACCGCTTCACTTACTTGGGAAGTACCGTCAGCCAACACCAACGGGTTGATCTCTGACGAAATCGCAGCACGAATACAGAGGGCTAGTTTCGCATATGCCAGTTTACGCCGTCTCTGGCGTGGACGACTATCGACCAAAGGGCAAGTGTACTGCTCAGCAGTCCGCTCCGTCCTCCTTTATGGCTGTGACACCTGCCCGTTGAGAGCAGAAAACATGAAAAGATTATCTGTGTTCGATCATAGGTGTCTGCGTTCTATCTCCCGTGTGAAGCGGTATAATAAGGTGAGCAATATTGAGGTTAGGCGTCGAGTGCTAGGTAAGGAGGGCAAATCAGTCGACGAGGCTGTGAAATTACATCGACTGAGATAGTTAGGACATGTGTTACGTATGCCTAGTCATCACCTTCCTCGATAGGCAATGTTAGCTGATATAGGGTCAGGCTGAAAAAGAGCTAGCGGTGGTCAAAAGAAAACATGGCACCAGTCAATGAAATCCACAACAGTTAGTCTAAGCCACGTAGGGAGGTGTAGACTTCCTCACTGGTTGGGGTCCTAGGGATGGTAGAAACCAATGGTTGGAAACAATTGGTGACATGGCTCAAAATCGTTTTCAGTGACGCAGATGCATCCACTCTTTGTGACTTATGATCTTCAATTAAACTGTTTCGTTCTTCGTTATTACTATACCTTTGTCTCACACCTCTGTTTACTGTCTCTCATATGCATTTCTCCTACTTTCTTCTCTTGCTTTGTGTGGTACACGGAGTGTGGCGACTTGAACTGCAGCACATATGTGCTAAGTTCTATGTCGAAAACAGAAAGAAGAAGAAAGAAAGACTCACTTGACATTGGTGTTGAAAATCAGAATCTTGTTCTTTATGTTGAGCGATGCTGTTTGGGGCTTTTCAGTGGTACACGTAGCTAAACGGCCGCCTGAGTTTTGGTAAATTCATAAGAATGAGTTGCGAAGTCACTGACACCATGTCATTTATTACACCATCTCTGGTTTTTTAAGCCATCAAGTTCGCTAACGTCCGAAGTTCTGTTTTAAGCGCTAGCTAGTATTATTCTAACGACAGTACGGTCACGTTCATTAGCTCACTAATATCCATGCACTGTACCGTATTAACCAGTTAAAGTTCCTAAGAGATGACTTCCGAAACCCTATTGATAATCTGTGATGCCAATAACCACATCTTGGGCTCTTTACCAAGCGTGGGAATTTTGCGACGAAGTAGGTTTGTTAGCCTCAGTAACAAAATTCGCTGGTCTCTATCTTCTGCCATATTGGCGACTGACTTTCGCTACAGTAGTAATGACCCCCTGATCTGCGTCCAACCTGCACGCTGCAAATCATAGTAATGACCGATTCAAATCCTATGCGCTCACCAACTAGGCCTCAGCCTTGACATCCTGCAGGAAGCTCCACATGTCGCCTTCTTTGAAAGTCGCAGGCCACAGGATATGGCAGCAGCATGGTGACACTAAGAGATCTGGACTTTCCAGACCACTTATGTCTAAAATCACACAAACCAGATGGTTTTACTTAAGTTATTAACGAATTCAAGGGGTTAGTTATTCAGTAATTGTGTCATGCTTTTTCTTTAAAACAAATTCTGCTGTTATAATTAATCATGGTTTCTTCTCGTATATGATTCATGTCTAACTGCACAAAAATTTGGAGGTCTGGAGAAGAAACCAACAGGTTGACAGAAGGGGACGGCAGCGAAGACAAAGCTTCAGTTGAATATACAGACGATAGTGGTGAAGAAATTACCCAGCCAACAACAACAAGTATTCGTCCCTTCTTCCAACAATGTAGGCTGTATTGCTTCAACCACGAGCAACACAGTGGAGGATGTCAAAGCCAGGCATCGGAAAAGCAAGACAGACATTTATTACTTCAAAACCAATGTGGAAATCTGTGGCAGTCAACATACGAAAAAAAGTCAAGTCATTCAGGACTTCTACATGGTTGACAGAACAACATGAAACTCTGGTAGTACAACAAACCAACCAAGAATCTATCACTGAACGATTACGCAAAATGCGACGGGTTTGGCGTACTCTGAGGTGGCCGTTAATATATTTCACGCTCCAGGTCTCTACTTGGAACCTGCATGGGAAAAAAGGAGATAGTTGTGGGTTCGAGTTTGATATGGATGAAATTATTTGAGGAAGAAACGAGAGTTTATGGTCTCCTTTGGGGCTAGAGAGGGATAAAGGGGTTTTTCTGAAACCTTCCTGTTTAACTAGGGACTCAAAAAATCATCCTAAGCGATAATATCTGCATCGTAATGAGAGATAGTATCCTCACTCAT